GTATGGCGGAGGTCTTGGTGACCTGGTGCATGGATTTGCACGGAAATATTGACCGCAGTGTATGGCGGAGGTCTTGGTGACCTGGTGCATGGATTTGCACGGAAATATTGGCCGGAGTATAGCAGCTGTCTCGCAGGGTCAGACAGTGTTATGGCGAAGGTCTTGGTGACCTGGTGCATATGGTTGCACGGCGATGATGATTGAAATTAAATGACAAAATTTAAGTTATGAAGACGAGGAATTATTGAAACAATCGATGAAGTCGAAATTTTTGTAACTGAATAAGAGAATTCACTGAATAAGTTAAAATTGAGAGTTAGAATGATTAGTTTGGCAAATCTAGAAATTCAACACACAGAGACGTGTGATAGGTCAGGAATGGCCGTGTCGGAAATAGATTCGAGGAATCACAGTATTAATGCTAAAGGCATAGTAGCAGAGACGGTAGCAGTCTCTACTGGCGTGTTGTCGGGTCGCGATTCAAGGAAGAATAAGGATTCTTGCGAAAGGCATAGCAGCAGAGACGCTGTCAGTCTCTGCTGGTGAGTTGACAAGATGATATTCGGGGAAGTACAAGAATTTACGCGTAAAGCATATCAGCAGAGACACTGGCGGTCTCTGCTGAGGAGTGAGGTCCGTTGACGGGTTACCAAAGGTACTGAGATAGAAGGAGATGACAATATATGTAGGCTGACAATATATAAGACGAGGATCGATGAGATCGGGGATAATCTAGTTTTGGTAACGAAAGTGAGCGGAACTGTGCTGTGCTGAGCTGTGCTGGCGCAACAAATAATAAAAGTTTAGTGAAAATGGAAGAAAGAACCTTGTTTCCGACACATATATAAACAGTAGTCGAAAATATAAAAAACGAATAGAAAAATCGTCATATTTTCGATGTTGTTTAGCCTTTTCGCATTTTTATCAACATATTTAATGACTGCAAGGATATATAAGCTACGGCTTGCCGAAGCTAGCTTCCTTTCTTGTTTTAAATTTATTCAATTTGATTTTCTCTAATATAAGATTTGTTTTTCTTAAATTTACTTTATTTGTCTTACAGTATTATTGTCGTGGATGCCATCCCCGATGGTGCAGAATATCTCCAGTTTGGTTGTCCTACAAAGGTTCCACGTTCCATATAATTTAAGGATGTCTTCTGTGAACGGATACTACAGAATGTTATCCAACGATGTTTTATTTAACTTTGTTGAGCCGGCCGTTTTAGTTTGGATCACGCACTTAATAAACGTTTTGCTTTATCGTGATGACGGTAGACCACTTAGAATCGTGTTGCTCTATTTTAATTAATTATGCCTGATTCGCGTACTTAGTAGACGTTTTGCTCTTTCGTAAACGCGATCAGGTCCCTTTTCGAGCGCCAGTTAAAGATTATTTTTATTGATTTTTACTTCCAGTTCCTTCTTTATTGGAGATCATTATACCCTTGCAGAGCAAAGGTTTTATAATTTTAGTCAGAAGTTTGCTACGCAGGAAGGAGACACCTCAGACCCCTTAAAGTATATATGTATATTCTTGATCAGCATCACGATCTGAATCGAAATGTCTGTCTGTTTATATGTAAACTAGTCTCTCAGTTTTAAAGCCATCTTGCTTAAACTTTACCAAAAGTTGTGTAGTTATTGCACGCAGTATATAAGTCGAAAGGGGCCGGATCGGGATAAGATAGCTTGCATACGAGAGAATGAGAAAAAAAATTCTCACGCCGTTGTTTTTTATCATATCGACTTGATTTCTTTCAATATATATATGGGTGATTCCATATCAGATTTACAGTCGATATTGAGAAATTCGATGAGATATTTTTTTCTTGCTCTTTATCGAAAATAAATCGACACGTATTTTTTTATTTGGCTCAGAAAATTTTTTTGACAAAGTTATGATTTTTTGAATTTTTGATGAACTGCCCTTTTTTTGATGACAGTCGCGTTTTCCAGCCCCAATAACTCGAAAACCGTACGTCGCAGAAAAAAAATGAATAGGAAGTAAAAATTTCATCCTTCCTTCTTCTTTGCAAAACTTTCGTGAAAAAATTTTTTTAAACAATTTTTCACCATAAAAAGTTCAAATGTTTATAACAAATTCATTTTTCTCCAACTTGGACCATTTTGATTTTTTTTTTTTTTTCACAGTAAATCCTTCAAATTCTTCTAATGAACATACTAAAGTTTCAGAATGGTATCAAAATTAGTTTTTGAGTTATAGAATTAAAAAAGCATTAAAAATTCATTTTATTGACCCTTACTATGCGCGCGCGAAGCGAATTGACGCTCGTTAGAGTCGTTGGTCGGCGCACGCCCTGAGACCGAGCGCGCGGACCGTGCATGATAATCTTTAAAATTCTGTAACTCAAAAACTAATTTTGATACCATTCTGAAACTTTAGTATGTTCATTAGAAGAATTTGAAGGATTTACTGTGAAAAAAAAAAATCAAAATGGTCCAAGTTGGAGAAAAATGAATTTGTTATAAACATTTGAACTTTTTGTGGTGAAAAATTGTTTAAAAATTTTTTCACGAAAGTTTTGCAAAGAAGAAGGAAGGATGAAATTTTTACTTCCTATTCATTTTTTTTGCGACGTACGGTTTTCGAGTTATTGGGGCTGGAAAACGCGACTGTCATCAAAAAAAGGGCAGTTCATCAACAATTCAAAAAATCATAACTTTGTCAAAAAAATTTTCTGAGCCAAATAAAAAAATACGTGTCGATTTATTTTCGATAAAGAGCAAGAAAAAAATATCTCATCGAATTTCTCAATATCGACTGTAAATCTGATATGGAATCACCCATATATATATATATAAATAATGAAAAAAATTATAACGTCGTTGTTTTTAATCCCACGAGCATGGTTTTAAGAATATCAAGTTTTTTAACAACCCTTTCATTCGAAACAAAAATTTCATGAAAATCGGACAACTATATTATATAGCTGCCATAGGAAAGATTGAAAAATCTATACAGAATTAATGGAAATAAATTGATAACGCCATTGTTTTTTATCACACGACCATGAGTATCAAGTTTTTTAACTAGTCTTGAATTATAAAAAAATTTCATAAAAATTGGACAACTATATCATATGGATGCCATAGGAAAGATCAAAAATCTATATAGAATTAACGAAAAAATACTAACATCCTTGTTTTTAAATCAGACAAGCATAATTTTTTGAACATATAGTTTTCTAATGACTCTCGAATTTCAGATAAAATTTCATAAAAATCGGACGACAAGAGAACTCAATTAGAAATCTCTATATTCTAAAAATCATGATTGTCAGATGAAAAACAACGAAGTTATCATTACGCCTTGAAGAGCAAAGAGTGTTATAATTTCAGTCAGAAGTTTGCAACACAGTGAAGGAGACACCTCAGACCCCATAAAGTATATATGTATTTATGTATATTCTTGATCAGCATGACGATCTGAATCGAAATACGTCTGTACGTCTGTCCGTTTGTCTAATTCTCTTTAAACTAGCCTCTAAATTTTAAAGCTATCTTGCAGAAATTTACCAAAGTTGTGTAGTTATTGCACGCAGAATATAAGTCGGAACGGGTCGGATCAGCCGACTATATAGCTCCCATACTAGAGAATAATAAAAAAAAATTCTCACGTCGTTGTTTTTATACCCTTGCATAGCAAAGGGTATTATAATTTCAAATAAAAAATTCTCAAGTCGTTGTTTTTGATCAGCTATCTGACTGAAACGTTCGCAAAAGGTGTGTAGTTATTGCACGCAGTATATAAGTCGGAACAGGCCGGATCGGCCGACTTTATCGGATAGCTCCCATACGAGAGAATAAAATAAAAAATTCTCATGACGTTGTTTTTAATCAGATTGACTTCATTTCTTCCAGATGGCGTTTTTTAACTACATTGAATTTCGGATTAAATTTGATCAAAATCGGATAACTCTATCATATAGCTATAGGAGAAATCAAAAGAAGACATCAAAAAATATATATAAATAATGGAAAACAATTATAAAGTCATTGTTTTTAATCCCACGAGCATTATTTTTGGAACACCAAAATTATAAAAATCGGAGTATTACATCATAAAGCTGCCATAGGAAAGATTGAAAAACCTATATAGAGTAACGACATACAATTTTTTTTTTTTTCATTATTTATATATATATATTTTTTTTTCTATGGGAGCTATATGATAGAGTTGTCCGATTTTGATAAAATTTAATCCGAAATTCAATTGTAGTTAGAAAACGCCATCTGGAAAAAATCAAGTCGATCTTATTAAAAACAACGTCATGAGAATTTTTTATTTCATTTTCTCGTATGGGAGCTATCCGATAAAGTCGGCCGATCCGGCCCGTTACGACTTATATACTGCGTGCAATAACTACACACCTTTTGGGAAAGTTTCAGCCAGATAGCTTTAAAACTGAGAGAAAAGTTTACATAGAAACAGACAGGAGGATTCGATTCAGATCGTGATGCTGATCAAGAAAATATATATTCTTAATGGGGTCTGAGGTGTCTCCTTAACTGCGTTGCAAACTTTTGACTGAAATAATAATACCATCTGCAAGGGTATAATGATTTAAGCCGTAGCTTTTTTAGCCTTTTCTATTGACCCAAGATTTAGATGTGGTTCATAAAAAGGATTTGGGTACAGCAGTTTAGTTTAAAATAAATAAAATTTTTGTAAAATAACCTTATTCATAGAACAAAAAATTAAGGAAATTAAAATATTATATAAATGTCTTTGTCTTTATCACGAATTCTTTTCATTTCATTTTGTAAGCTATTAATCCATTGTGTTAGCCTAGCGTAAGGCCGTTTCAAAGAAACTAAACATTCAAAAACATATAACAATGTGTTGGTAACTGTTATTGTTTTTCTCAAGCAAAATCCTTACTGTATATGAATTCAACCCCTAACGTTAAAATAAACCAATGGGAAGAAATTATTTTCTCTCCCCAGCTCTCAAAGTGGCGCAGCGGAGCGTCGTTTTTACGAGCAATCAAGTACGAAGTTCAGCCTTTTACGACTTCCAACAAAGACTTACTGTATCAGAATACTGCTTTGAAACTTTGTTTTAGTCCCAATAGGAGCTTTTAACTCGACGGTCGAAATAAACTCGAAAAATATATGCGCGGGATCATGTTAAGAAATGTGAATATGCAAGCGTTGTTTATAATGTAAAAATTAGTTTTTGAGTTAAAAACATAATTTAAAACAAAATAAAAAGAACTACAAGGCTTATACACTTAATCTCAGATCGTTTAGGTTAGGGTTTTAAAAAGTATTAAAAAATTGATCGATGTGCTTAAACTGATAAAGGCAATATATAACACCGGTATTAAGGAACGAAACAGAAGACCTTACCACAAAAGGCTTTAAGGTAAGCAATTAATTCTTTATTGCTAACTGTTGTTAAATATATATTTCTTTTAATTTTATAGTTTTAATGTTTACATATTTTAAAGTTCGTGTTGCATATGTAGAATACAGACTATACATAATTCAAATTCACATAAAAGAAAATGCATTTAAATATAAGTTCTACCATATTTTCTGGGAGAGGTCTGATCGTAAGAAATTATGAAGGATAAAACGTCATAGTTCGACGATTTTATCATTAAACAAGTAAGGAAGCTAGCTTTAACAAGCCGAAGCTTATATACCCTTGCAGTCATCAAATATGTCCAACAAAATACATAAAGCCTAAAAAATATCGAAGCTATGACGATTTTTTGATCAATGGTCTATATTTTCGATGATTCACAGCTATACGATATAGTAGTCCGATTTTTTATGAAATTTAATTCAAAATTCAAGAGTCATTAGAAAACTTTATATTTCAAAAATTATACTTTTCTGATGAAAACAACGATGTTATCTTTTTTCCGTTAATTCTATATTGATTTTCATGATATTTCCTATGGTAGTTACATATATGATAGTTCAATTTTTTTTCTCGATTTAAGGTTAGTTAAAAAACTCAGGCATGAAAAAAAGCATGCTCGTGAGATAAAAAACTACGTCGTTTTAATTTTTTATTTATTTTTATTTATTTATTTTTTATTATTTATACATATATTTTTCGATCTTCCCTATGGCAGCTATATGATAGAGTTATCAGATTTTGACAAAAATTAATTCGATAGTCGACACCAGTCAAAAAACACCATCTGGAAGAAATCCAGTTGATATGCTCAAAATCAACGGAATAATCATTTATTTTTTTCAATCTCTCGTATTGGAGCTATCCGATATAGTCCCCCGATCCAGTCTGCTTCGACTTAAAAAGTGCGTGCAATAACTACACAACTTTTGGTAAAGTTTCAGCAAGATAGCTTTAAAACTGAGAGACTAGATTCCGTAGAAACAGACAGACGGACAGACATGTTTGTAGATTTCTAAGTTACAAGAAATTGTATTCTTGCTATCACAAACATAACCGGCCAATCAGGGTTGCCAACTCGGATTTTAAAAAAGGCGTAGGTCAGATAAAGAAAGTTATGTAGAAATGTGAAATTGCCATATAAAAAATACGTAGATCTACGTACTTTTTTTTCTGAGTGAAATTAAGAGAGTAGGGTAGGTAAAAGTAAATAAAATGACAATTTATATTACCCTAAAAGTAGTAGACAGCAAACAAACAACAAATTTAAAAATAAAACAAGAAAGGAAGCTAGCTTCGGCAAACCGAAGCTTATATACCCTTGCAGTCATCAAATATGTCGAACAAAATGCATAAAGGCAACATCGAAGCTATAACGATTTTGCTATTCATTTTTTTATATTTCCGACTATAGATCATATGGGAGCTATATGATATAGTTGTCCAATTTTGATCAAGTTTAATTCGTAATTCAAGAGTCGTAAGAAAACTATATATTCCAAAAATCATACTTGTCTGATGAAAAACCACGATGTAATAATTTTACTTCCGTTATTTCTATATAGATTTTTCGATCTTTCCTATGACAGCTATAAGATATAGTTGTCCGATTTTTTTGAAACTTTTTTCTCAATATAAGAGTTGTTAAAAAACAATCATGCTCATGGGATAACAAGAAAGGAAGCTAGCTTCGGCAAGCCGAAGCTTATATTATTTATATTTTTTCTCGGTTCAAGGGTAGTTCATAAAGTCGATATTGGAAAAATCATGCTCGTGGAATAAAAAACAACGTTATAATTTTTTTGCCATTATTTCTATATATATTTTTTGATCTTTCCTATGGCAGCTATATGATAGAGTTATCCGATTTTGATCAAATTTAATCCAAAATTCAATAGTATTTAGAAAACGCCATCTGGAAGAAATCAAGTCAATTCAATCAAGTCAAAACAACGGCGTAATAATTTTTTTTCCTTTATTTTTTTGACCTCTTGTATGGGAGCTATCCGATATAGTCGGCCGATCCGGCTCGTTCCGACTTATATACTGCGTGCAATAACTACACAACTTTTCGGAAAGTTTCAGCACGATAGCTTAAAAACTGAGAGACTAGTTTACATAGAAACAGACAGACGGACAGACGGACCGACGGACAGACGGACAGACGTACAGACGGATTTCGATTCAGATCGTGATGCTGATCAAGAATATATATATTTTATGGGGTCTGAGGTGTCTCCTTCACTGCGTTGCAAACTTCTGACTGAAATTATAATACCCTTTGCTCTGCAAGGGTATAAAAAATCTATGAATTATAGGTCTACCAGAATCTCATGGCAAATAGGCCAAACTTTACATGCAAATATAAAATCATCTATTTATTTATTACCAGTAAATGATCTGTTTATATAGATATTTATATATTTGCACATAGAGTATGAAATAAATAAAGCTAAATAATGAATGGATTTTAATATATTTGTGTAAAAAGTTTGGCTTATTTGCCATGAGATTCTGGTAAACCTATACCACCTGTAGTTAATTTTAACAAGTTAAACAAGAGGCTAGGGGTGTCCGTTAGTATAAAAAAGGAACGTCTATTAATTTTTTTCGCGAAAATTAAGGTAATTATGCCCATTCAGTCTATTTTGCAAATTTATACAATTTTGATAGAAAATACGTAGATTCTGGGACTTAAGTTCGTAGGTTTGCAAGAAAAGCTTAAAGTACGTAGATCTACGTAAAAAGACGTAGAGTTGGCAACCCTGCGGCCAATACTACTCTAATCAAAAACTCATTACCAACTTGCCCATTTTGTCAAGGCGATACCACCATAACCCATTTACTAAACACATGTCCATCTCTTCTTCAAACCAAACAAACTATATTTAACAACCCCAACCCAAAAACATACCAAAAATTCCTTTTCTTCCTTAAAAGAACAGAATAATACCATAAGATCTAAAGGTTTTAAAATTTTCTTGTTTGCATTTTTAAAATATTTTTTTTCTAAAAGACCAAATTTTTCACATAAATTCGCAGGTAATCAGGAAGAGTTTTTTTATTTTTTAATTTTTTCTATTTTTAATTATTAAGTTAACAACGATTCTTTGAGGTAAAATCGCACTTTTTACTTTCAATAGCAGGAAAAAATAGACAAAAAAAAATACAAAAACTCTTACTGATTACCTCGCGAAATACATTAACTTTAAAACGGATATCACTTTTTTTTAAGATGATCCGTTAACGAGTTATGATGTTAACCGCCAAACCACTTTTTTCTATGTGTTCTGATAATTAACCGTCACAGGCTTATTTCTAAATATTTTTCATTAAAATTTCTTCCTAAGTTGAAAATAATAATTCAAAAGTTGGACAATAATATATCATTAAACTTAATAAAATAAATTACACATTTCGCCACAAAAAAACACAAAGCCTCTTTTTTAGCCTTCGAAATTCAAGATTCATTAAAAAACTGTAAATTCCAACGATTTTAACACCGATGTCATTATTTATCATTTATCAAATTCTCGTGTCACAGTGCTTGTTACCATTGTAGCAACAAACACACCCGCTGTCTTTCGGTGCTCTCATTGAACTGATCTTTTATTTGTCTCCTTTTTTTACAAAGAGTTGCTTATCACTAATACTTACGAAACTAGCTTATGTATATGTACAGGGTGATTTGAATATGCTACAATTATTCGTACAGGGTGACTAGAATATACTACAATATACTACAACTCGGCCTTCTGACGATTAAGGATCTCCTGATCCTGGCCTATTGTTAACTTTTGTTTTTCATGTGTGCATGTGTGTTTGTTCTTTTATACATTTCTTTTTTCTGTTTGCATTTGACATTTTTTTCATTTGATTCTACCGTTGTATCGTTTTTCACCTCTGTTTTACATTTTTCATTTGTTTTACTATTTTCATTTCTTTTTATCATTTTCATTAGGTCTATCATTTGTTTCATCCATGTCTAAGATATCTGTTTTCTCAACTATTTCCCTATCGTTCGAGCTTTCCAACCAGGGTTTTATATTGGCTGCCGCCCATACTCCTGAGTATGGTATTCTCGATTGTTGAAATCCATCAACATTTGAAACCACGTACCTGTCGTTATCTAAGACTTTAATTATTTTGAACGGACCCTTGTATTTAGGTACTAGTTTTTTCGAAACTCCAACATGAGCATCGAAATTTTTAACAACTACGTAGTCTCCTTGTTCATACTCTTTTGGCGTTTGACGTTTCAGATTTGTTTTAGCTTCGTTGTATAATTGTAAATTTTTTTCTTTTTCTTGAGCACTACTTCGAATATCTTCAATAGACCTAACATTGTTTTCTAACTCTTGCACACTTTCTTTGAGACAATCAATTAGTTTCCCTTTTTGTTCAACACCAAACAGCATAACGCTAGGGTGTTCATTTATTGTTCTATGCACTGTATTATTTAGAGCGAACTCTGTTGCTTCTAACACATCTTCAAAGTTTTTTTCTGAGTTCATAAGTTTAGCGATCATAGGTCCAATACTGCGATTTATTCTTTCCACCTGTCCATTTGCCTGAGGTGATCCAGTCGCGATTTTTATGTGCTGTATGTCTCTGTCTTCTAAAAAATTTTCAAATTCGCTAGATATGAAGCACGTACCTCTATCTGAGATCAAACAATTTGGCCTGCTATATGCCCTACAATAGTTTTTGAGAGCTATTATATGTAGCTTCTTTTGATTTAGTCGTTTTAGCTGAGAATAATCTTACGAATTTTGTAAACCCATCAATCACGACCAGAACATGTCTCTTTGTATTATCTTGTATTGTAAGTGGGCCAAAATTATCCACATAAACGAGTTCAAACGGTCCAGTACCTTTAGGGATATTATGAACAAAACCTTCCTGTTTCCCATGTTTTGCCGAAAACGTTATGCACTCTAAACAATTTCTGATATTCGCGTCAACTTTTTCTTTCAATTTAGGGAACCAATATGATT